CACAACCACACAACACAACACCACACCCAACACACACACACACACACACACAACACACACACAACACACCACACACAACACACACCACTAACACAAACTCAACACACACAACACACACACAGCACAACACACTCACACAACACACACACACAACACACACACACACAACACACACACACACACAACACACACACACACATACACACACACAAAACAACACACACACACACCCCACAACACACACACACCAACCACACACACACACCAACACCACACACACTACCACACACAACGACCACAACACAACACACCACAACACCACACACACTAACTACACATTAAACACATACACCACACAACCAAACAACACAACACACACTACACCACAACACACCCACACCACACACAAACAACACAACACAACACAAACACACACAACACACAATACACACAACACACACTACAACACACACACAAACACACACACAACAACACACACACACACTACACACACACAACAACACACCCACCCAACACACACACAACACACACACACAACACTAACACACACACACAACACACACACAACACCACCCCAACACAACACACACATAACACCACACCACACAACACAACACATCACACACAACACATACACACACATAACACACACCAACCATAACACACTACAAACCACACACACACAACACATAAACACACACAAACACACACACAACCACACACACACCACACACACACCACACACACACAAAACAACACATCACACAACACACACACACAACACACAACACACACACACAACACACACACAACACACACACACAACACACCCAACACCCACACACACACACACAACACACACACATCACAACACACACACACAACACACACAACACACACACCACACACACACACTACAACACACACAACACAACACACACATACAACTCACAACAAACACACACACTCACTACACAACACACACACACACACACCACACACACACCTCACAACACACACAACTCACACAACCACTCAACACACACACACAACACACACACACACAACACACACACTACACCCAACACACACACCCACAAAAACACCACACAACACTCACACAACAACTCACACACACTACACACACACACACACACAACCACACACCACACAACCACACACACACACTAACGCACACACCAAAAAAACACACACACACAACACACACCACACAACACACACACACACAACCACACACACAACACACACACACAACACACACTCACACAACACTACACACACACCACACTACAACACACACACACAACACACACACAACACACACACACACACACAACACACACACACACACAACACACCACAACAACACACAAACTCTACCACACAACACAACACACACATCACACAACACACACACACACACAACACACACACACAACACACACACACACAACACACACACTCAACACAACACACACACAACACACACTACACACAACACACACACAAACACAACACACACACACACACAACAAACACACACACAACTCACACACCACTACACACACACACACACACAACACACCACCACGACAACCCACAACACACACACACACACACACACACACACACACACACACACCACACACACACACACCACACACACACACACACACAGCACACACACAACCACACACACAACACACACACACCCAACACAACACACACAACACACACTCACACAACACAACACACACAACACACACACACGACAAACACCAAAACAACACACACACACAACCCAACACACACAACACACACACAACAACACAACACACACCAGCACACTACACACAAACACAACACACACAACACACCACACCCAACACAACACACACAAGCACACACACAACACAACACACACAACTCACACACACACAACAACAACACTCACAACACACACACACACACAACAAAACACACACAACACCACACACACACACACACAACACAACACACACAACACACACACACACAACGACAACATCACACAACACACACACACACACACACTAACAAAACACACACAACACACAACACACAACACTACACACACTAACCACACCACACAACACAACACAACACCTACTCAACACACACACACAACACAACACACCACCACACACAACACACACAACACAACACACACAAAACACACACAACACACAACACAACACACGCAACACACACACACACACAACAAACACAACACACACACACACACAACACACTACAACACACACACACAACCACAACACACACAACACACACACACAACCAACACACACAACAACACACACACACCAACACAACACCACACAACACACACCAATCACGAACACAACACACACACACACAACGACACACAACACAACACACTACAACACACACACAAAACACAACACACACAACACACACACGCACAAACACAACACACACAAACACTACACACACAACACAACACACCACAACACACACACAACAACAACAACACACCAACACACACACAACAACACAACACACACAACACACACACAACAACACAACACACACAACACACACTACAACAACACAACACAACACACACACACACCAACACAACCACACCACAACACACACAACTACAACACAACACAACACACACACACAACCCACACAACACAATCACACAACAACACACACAATAGCACAACACCAACACACTCAACACACACACCACACACACAACACCCACACAACACACACACACTACACACAACACAACGAACACAACACCACACACACAACACAACAACACACAACACACACACAACGCTACACACACACAACACACACACAACACAGACACATACAACACACAACACACAACACACATACACACACACAACCACACACACTACCACACCACGACAACACACCACAACACACACACCACAAAACACACACACACAACACACACCTCACCACTCACAACACACACACAACACACTCACACCCAACAGCACAACACACACAACACACACACAATCTACACACTACACAACACACACACTAACACACACCACTACACACACACATCAACACACACACAACACACACACTACGATATCACACTACAACACACACACATCAACACACACACAACACACACACACAACACACACACAACATCACACACAACAAACACCCAAAAAACACACCACTCAACACCACACACAACACACACAGCACAAACACACACATTAACACAACAACACACAACCACACACACAACACACACACACAACACAACACACAAAACAACCACACACACAACACCAACACGACACACACATCTACACACACAAACCACACACACACAACACACACACAACACCACAACACACAACACACACCACAATCACACACATCACACACACACACAACACACACACACAACACACAAACACACTCACACACACACACACACACACACACACACACCACACCACACACACACACTAATCACAACACACACACACACAACAATCACCACTACACACACACCACACACAACACACACTCATCACACAACACACACAACCATTCAACACAACACACACACGACCATCTCACAACACAACACACACACCACAGCACCCACAACACACACACACACCATCACACAAACACACACACACCCCATACTACACAACACTACACACACCACGCATCACTCAACACACCACAGAACCCCCATCTCACACTACACAACACAAACACCACCCACAACACAACACACACAAACCATTCAATCACAACACACCACAAATCCATCACACAACCCACACACACCACCATCACACACACACACACACCACCCTACATCTCTCACAACACACACACCGACAACCACCATCACACACAACACACACCACAACCATCACACCGACAAACACCTTCAACAACGACTCCATCACCACACATACACACTACCACACACCCACTCACACACACACAATGCACAACCATCATCACACACCACCCCTCACCGCAAACCCTCAAAGCCCACCCAACACATCACACACAACACACACACAACACCAACACACCCATCACTACACACATCATATACCCAAATATTCAAAACACACACACAACTCACACACTTATCACGCACACAACACACACAAAATATCACACACGATCACACACCACACTACACACACACTTAAAACCCAACAACGCCAATCCCAACTAAATTCTCCCACCACAGAACAGTAAACAAATTGATAAGCAAACCAATCGCCTTTTAAGAACCTATCGGCACACAGTGTCATGTGTCAACAGCCACACCAACCGCCAACAGTGTCCCAAGTTGTAATATACACAGAACAGGAAAATCCAACAACCACCAGACCACACCAAAAATATCTGTGGGGTGACAGAAGATATATGTCCTTGTTAACACGTAACGCAGGTAATTACACTATTTTTTTGGGAGGGGGTGGTAATCGTCAGTTTCTTGTCCGGGGATTCACTTAATCATCAAAAATTGTCTGGTCATCACATAAACTTGGATGCGACAGCTAGAACGCCCTTAGGGCATTGGAATTATTGCACATCCTTAAACCCTCTGCTACCACACAAGTGCCACAATCCCATGCCACGCTTTGCAAACTCACGCATTGCTGCAAGCAGTTGCCCACTGCCTGCAACAGTGGGCACTGTTGCAAGCAGTACTCGAGTGCCGTCAAGTTTCAACCCCTCACCACCGCTTCAACACAGTACACACAGACACATACCACACAGACAGAACACACAGACAGACACACACACACACTCACACCACACACACCACACACACACACACACCACACACACAACACCACACACACACAACACTAACACACCACACACAAACTTAGAACCTTCAGAGGACTGTACAAAAACAATTTCCCAATGACCACTGCAAGGTAACGTTGGCATCAAGGATCAGCCATCATAACATTGGCTTTCCTTTTGGCATGGCGACGAGCCCAGAGCGAGAACACTTAGGAAGTTTTAGTATTCACTAAACCACAACAGTGACGCACCTCGTCCACGAATAATTGTACCTCTTTGTATTATTAGAACGAAAGATAAATACTGTACAGTGACTGGATTCTCAGTGTAACATTTCTGGTAATACTGTTAAGAACAGGTGAAGTTCCCGGGGGTTTGTTGACCCCTCGCAGCCCCACCGAGGCTCTCCCAGCGGTATACCCATGAAGGCCATAAGAAGAACCAAGTCTTTAATAAATAGTACTTAAACAGTGGCCTTCAGAGGAGCACCAAAGTCGAGGTTTTATTATTTCCTTTTAAGGGGAGATGAAACCTCTTTAGCTAGAGAGACCTTACCAAATATACAAATAAGAACACACAATGGTGATTCCAACAGTTGCTCCATCAGAGCATTGAACTTGGCACCTAACCCATGTCCACCTCCCCATGTCCCCCTCCCTGCCCGACTCTCCGTATCCTCAAGTAAACTTTCCTGAGAACATATAATATATATAATATATTATATTATATATAAATTCAAACAGAGAGCCTGGGGAGAGAGAGGGGCGTTGATTATCTGTTGGTGTTCCGCCTCCTAGCGGTGGGGTAGAGTGGAGCGTCCCCTTAGCTTCTCTTGGAGGCAAACTCCCTGAGGATGTCTCTGGCCATCGCTATGTCGTTCCTGGTGATGACGAGAGCTCTGATGACGGCGTCCTGGGCGAAGCCTTCTTGCGTCAGCGTCGCCAGGTAGTCCATGTGTAGGTTCTCGTAGGCAGTGTGCGCTTCCTCCCCGCCTAGGCCTTCCGTCACATTCATGCTAGATACGACAGAAGAGGAGGGCATGTTAGCTGGAGATATTGGTATACCTATTATTATAGTTGCCACGATTACAGAACCATGATGACAATATCATGATCTCAGTATCTATAATAATGCATAGTCTTTATTCTTATTACATAAGGCTTTAACCTATGGATTTCGTCAATTATAATGGATGATACTCAGGATTATAATTAGGTTTTCCTGACATAGTAAGACTATAGTGGTTATACGATTTTCTTCCAGGGTTTTTCTCTATAATTTCACAACGCCTGGCCCAGCCGGCTTAACATTATCAATGCTGGTGAACTTTAACTAGGGGAAAGCCTCTTGCAACTATTAGGATGGGCAGGTGCCCATTTAATTGTAAGAAACTATTTCTGATTCTAGTTTCCGTGGAAAAACTTGAAAAAGCCTCCTCTGCTGGGCTTCAAAATAAGATTGTTATAGCAGTATGTACATGAATGGTATAAAATACCGACAAAATGAAAATGTCACATACGCAACATATGGGGAGTCCCGCCTACCAGTGACAATGTCTTCGTCTGCAACACGTCCCTTACCACTTGACGCCGGTATACAAGCGCCAGCCTTCTTGCCTTTGCTGATTAATAAACAGGTGGTTATAACTATAACCATAACTTTTAATGGGACGGACCGGTAAGCCAGCGAAAGGCCTCGGTCAGATGACCAGAAGCTCCAGTGGCGGGTCATCATCTGACTAAGACCTGCGTCAGGAAACACTTCTCCTGCTTCCTGACGAACCTTACCTAACCTAACCTTGCCTATGCTCCAGACTCTTCACGACTCCGGTGCTCTTCACCAGCTCCAAGGCTGAGGGACTGATTACCTCATCTTTAGTATATAGTTCTACTGTCTTCCATTTATGTCCTTGAATTTATTTTGATAAAGCCACTGGATGGCGAAACGTCTTCAATAAACATATCCAGATGTTGCACATGTGTCTAATTTTCAAGTTCATATTACAGTATGTAGATGTCAATTTGCCCAGTTAGTTTAAAAAACTATTTTTCGTGAAATAAGTACGCATCATTTGAGCATCTTAAATCTTGACTGGATAATGCATCATATACGGTGCCATGATGCAGGTGAAGGTGTCTTGAATCAAAGAATTTGAATCAAGACCCTTACGGGTCTCTCTCTCTCTCCCTCTCTCTCTCTCTCTCTCTCTCTCTCTCTCTCTCTCACTTTCCCTCCTTGTTTTTCCTCTTTCCGTCTCCTCTTCTACTTTCCCACCCGCTTCTCTCCCTTCGGGGAGGAAGAAAGGGTACTTTGATGTACCCTCGAATCAAACCTGATTACTTCCCTCTTACCGTTTGTCCAATGTTCCTTAGTCTTCCTACCTTGCCTTCCCATCCTACCTTCTTCCTTACAACCTTCCATGAACCACCCTACCTTCTGTCAGCCGACCAGGACTTCATAATGGTGGGTAAGGACGGAGCTGACGGTGCTGGGAAGTTCGGCAAATCTGAGTCCGTTGCTGACTTCCTGGCTGACGCTGGACACGCTGTAACAGTGTCAGACCAACAGCAGATTAATTTAGGTATGGATCAAGCAACAAATGAGTGTCAACTGACAATGAAGCTGATGATTCGACAGGTCTCTCTCGTTTAACAATAGGCGTTAGTTGAAGATGGTAGTTAGCTTTCGTTAGTGACATGGCAGGTGATGGTAGTAAGATAGTGGTGGTGAACCATATCACGGGCGGATATTAAACTCGTGGCGAGTGAGACGTAAAACTCCAAGCCACTGGGCCAGCTGGCCAGCTGGTCCAGTGGCTTAGGTGCTGGCTTGGAGTTTCATGACTCACTCGCAGCGAGTTCAATCCTCTCCCGTGGTATGTTTTTTTTGCAATCATGTAATTACGATTTCGTGAGTTATAATGGTGGTAGCAACATCGCAGGTGATGGTAGTAAAATAATGGTGGTAGTAACATGGCATAAAAATGATCTTAACCCGTTGGGATCTTCAAGCACTGAAATTTGCACATGAAAAATGCACACAAATTTAAAAATATTAAAAGTAATAATAATGGGGTATTTAAACTCAGTTTTGTGTTCTGGTAATTTCAGTTACCTGGGGGAGGTAGAGTGGTGTTCTCATAGGGAGGTTCTTCGTGGATGTCTTCCAGGTCTCCCGTGTGGCTCGTTCCACTGGCTCTTCTGTCCACGTCCAAGCCGGCACCACTGCTGGTGGTGGAGGCCGACCCGGAGGAGCAGGAGGAGGTGGAGGAGGTAATGGAGGAGGGGGAGGAAGGGGAAGGCGTAGTGGCGGGGGTGGGAGGCATTAGAGTGGACTGAGAGGGCAGGATCGTACGAGGACGCGGGGTGATAGTAGTGGTGACGGTGGTGGTGGTGGGCTCCTGGCTGGAGATCAGGTCATCACAGGTCATCACGGGGGTATAGGTGATAACTGTGACGGGTGACGATACAGATAAGGGCGGGGGCGGCGCCGTGGTGGTGGGCGGGCCTCCTAGCGGGGACATAGGTTGTCTCTGCTGTGAGTTACCACTGGAACTTACGGGCAAACTCACTGGCACGAACGATGAGGAAGGGGCAACGGAGGTAGGGGGGAAATGAACGGGGAAGGGCGGCGCTGAAGGTAGCGGAGTGGGCGTGGTCGCAGGCGTTGAGGTAGGTGCGGGCGTGGGCGTGGTGGCAGGAGTGGAGGTAGGTGAAGAGGAGGAAGAAGAGAGGGAGGGATTGGAACCAGAGGCTCGCATAAGCTTGCTGGTCCTGGGCACAATGTGAGGCACAGATAGTGGCCGGTGTCGCAGTGGTGACGGGGCACTGGGCTTCCTTCCACTGCTTTCCTTGCTCAGCCCTGGGTGACACACACACACACACACACCCCGTCACTCACTTTCAGTTAAACTTATGAAACTCATATTACGTGGCTGAAACAATTCAGCAGTATCCTATAAATTTTGAACGAAACTTCAACGACGTTTCGGTCTCTACTGGACCTGTCAGACGACCAACACACGTTAAAAATAAATATTTACTAAACACCAAAATTATTTAAATTTTTCAATTCCAGTTACACAAGTAGCAATTTATGGGCTAGATGTGAACTGTTCCAGCCAAGGTATTGCGTCTTACCTCTAATATTCAACATTTTCCTCGATGCACGAGTTATCTGATATTGCTTAATGAGAATTGCAGGTATTATAATGTACCTTGCATCATTGAACATCTATTACCGTTTAGAAATTACTTTGCCCTATTAGTGGGTGGTAAAATAATGATTCCAAACTTCCTAGGTAGTAAGCAGCTGATATATCTTGAGTATGAACGGAAGGTAAGAATATTCACCTGTGGTTGTGGTCTCAACAGTGACGTTGTTAGGGTCGAGGGTGACGATTGTGATTGTCCTGTGCGGGGAGGTGGGTGTGGTGGGCGTAGTTACCACTGTGGGCGCCGTGAGGGAGGCGAGTGTCCTGGGGGGTGCTAAAGGCATATCTTCCTCCTCTTCCAAGTCCAGTGTACTCGACCTGTGGGTGTACCCACCTGTGTTAATCACATCCACCTTGACTTCTCCATTAATTGAGGGGATTTATGGGTTACCTGCCAGAACTTAGGGAAAATTTTGCGAGTGTCTTTTAATGTTAAGTATTTCATATCCTATTTTAATTAACGTTGAGTATTTTAACCTAGCGTGAAAATATTTGTTGTATTATCGTGTGCTTGTTCGATGGTTTTCATTAGGGAATGTTAGTTTTGATATGTGATAGGTGGTGTGTGTGTGCTCAGTGACCTTTTGGTTCCAGCGATCTGTAAATATTAAAAATTGTCGTTCATCGTTAATGTTTCTGCCCATCACTCCAAGTGTGTCGGACCTCCACTAATGGGGATGGATGCTGATTTTTTTTCTTTAGGTTTTAAAAGTGTCTTTTATATTACTGGATGTGTTCTGAGGGTTGTAAAAAAAAAAAAAGAGAAACGCTTATGTGTGGCCAAGACCTTCCATAGCGGAGAAAATGCTAACAAGATGCGCTAAGATGTTCATACGTCATGCCATTTACCTTTCTAGGATGATGATCGTGGGGGAATGGGAAGCTGCCTTGATGTTAGCGAAGGGTGCTTGATCTAATTAACTGGAGCTGCTCTCCCCTTGATTCAAGCCTGGTTACTTCCTATTACCCAGTCCTTGTGTGTCCCATAAGGGCTGCATCTCGCTGAACGGGATGGGGTTTAAACCTATGGTAAACCAGTCTTAAATCTAACAGGCTAGTGTGCTATCCACTGTATCATGAATAAACAGAAAAATGGACGGGGACTCGAACCGTGGTTCTAGCATGTAGCACGCCCAACACAATACCACTGAGCCATGAAGCTTAAAACAGGGGATTTTACAGACGCCATTTCTGTGATCTATCTACACCATCGGCACAAAATATGACCCTACTGATTCATCCCACACCTCCTGGTTACCTGGTACGTATATCTATTCTCATATCCCTCAGAATCATACAGTCCCTAAACTCGTGTTCATCGCATAATGGGTTCCATGTGGGCGTGATCAGGGAATTCCTGCATCAGGGGTCGAGTTGTTGAATGGTGCGGCTCAAGAAATGTTAAGCATCCTAGACACTTGCGGGTCCTGAGAACTCGGACAGTCGGGAGAGGTCCATTGCTCACGTGGAGAACAAGGAATGATTGCTATGGATGTGATCCTAGTGAGGTCGCCGGGGGTTTCTCTGCTAACAGAATGAAGTGGAGCACAGATGTAGTGCTTTGATGGCGTGGCCATCCCAGCTCAAGTTTGGTGTGCACGAGAGAGCATGCAACCAACTTGGTTTCTTTTTTCCCCTTTTTTTTTATTACACTTAGAATGCTACTCAAAATAGTTGGCCAACTTCCATATTCCTAATTACTGCTCGGTGAACAAGAGCAGCAGGTGAAGGGGTACACGCTTAGGGACGATACATGACATTTAGGAGCTTGACAAGGTGAATTAGCGTGTTTAAGCAAGTTTGTCCTATTCCTGAGGGTGATTTTTTTTACACAACTAGCTGACAATCAACTAGGCTGTAATGGGTATGCGGGCCGCCAGCAGCAATACCCTGGTTGACCAGGCAAGCATAGCCAAGTCTAGTCCGGGGCCGGGCAGCGAGAGTAGAAAAACTCTCGAAACTCGTCAAAGGCATATCCAGATACCGTACTTCCTTTAAATAGGGTGGAATACATTCATCCGGTACATTAATATTTGTTTAATAACTGAGCGGGTCATCATATGACAAGCAATGAGTCAAGAAACACTTGTCCTGCTTCCTGACAAGCAAAACACCACCATCATGGGATTAGATTTCAGAAAGCAGTCTAATCTGCAGTTCTACAATGAGTCCGGTGCTACTGTGACTCATTTGGCTTAAAAGGAGACTGAATTCATTTACTCCTGCAGCGGAGATGGCAGAGGAAAGACCACAATTGACGACCTTGCTGAGAGGGCAGGCGGTCAGGCAGGGAAAGTGCCCTAACATCTTTCCTTTCTTTGGCATCCTAAATCTGAAACTCGGTCTACCGTCTACGGTGAGTTATTATTTCTGTGATTATATATGTAAGGCTTCAAAACTCTGTGCAGTTAAGTGGTACATAAAGCGATTATATATAGCTATATAATGCTATGTTTTCTAATTCAAATTCCCACAATTCCGCTGACCCTACATGTGAGGTTATAAATATAATCAAAGCGAGCACTTAGAACTCGCGAGAACTGGCCATCTTGTAGGTGAACTTAAGCCACGATTTATTACTGTACAAGTGTGAGACGGGAGAGCTTTAACGATAGGCGATGCTCGCTACACCATCAGTATCATGCTTCCTCAACAGGAGAGATAGAATACCTTGAAAAGAAGAGAACATATTTGTCAAAACGGTCGAAGCAAGGCAAGCAGCAGTTTCTCTGTTGTCGTTCTTAAACTTTGTAAGGATATCTCCATCAGAGGAAGTAGCGGAAGGCTCTTAGTACATTCAGGATTCTTAATAATGGTACCTACCACCCGGACCTATTGCGATGTTGAAAGCTGTGCTGAGGCAGCCGGTCCAACCGGTTTGTCTCCAGGCCAGTAATATACTGCTTGCATAATCATTAAATTTGTCTTGCTTACATAGATCAGATGAGCAACACACGTTAAGAATGGGCATTTACTAAACACCAAAATGATTTAACATTTTCAGTTAACGTTGCATAAGAGACTTCTAGTATACACATGACAATTAAATAAAAGTTCATTAGATACACAAATAACCCGCACATAAAAGAGAGAAGCTTACGACGACGTTTCGGTCCGACTTGGACCATTGACAAAGTCACACTGACTTTGTCAATGGTCCAAGTCGGACCGAAACGTCGTCGTAAGCTTCTCTTTTATGTGCGGGTTATTTGTGTATCGTTCCAGTCACGGTATTGTGCCTTTTTGTTATTTATTTAAAAATTCATTAGCACTGAAACATCGAAAATCTGTCGTTGGGGTTTTGTATGTCAGGCGGCCACTGTCTCCTCATACCTAGATATGTCAAGATTTGTTACTGAAAATAATGTACCAGACATAGCAAATATCCTAGTTTTGCTTGTAACAGAAAAGACAACTGTAGATATTAATCCGGATGTATTCCCGCTAACCCTATTGGGGTCTAGTTCCTACCCCCTGCGCTACCGTCCAGAGAATGGATATGGGATGAAAAGTAAACTAGCCTCTTCGGCGAGGGAATCTTAAAAAAAAAAAAATCCCACTCGATTACTGTTCAATCTCTAGCTTACTGGTGCTAGGTTAGGTTTTAAATTATATATATATATATATATATATATATATATATATATATATATATATATATATATATATATATATATATATATATATATATATATATATATATATATAATGGGGGTGGAAAAACCAAGCTCTGGTAAGCTAGCGGATGTTTGACCGTGAATCAAGCCTGATTACCTTACGTCCTTATGAATTTCATACTTTCCCCTAATATAGAGGTGTGAGCGGCCTGGTTGTGAGTGGTGGGCAGAGATGGACGGAAACTCGTCTGCTGTGACCAACTTGAAGGGTGACAATACTGAGGATGGATTGCAAATAAAACTCATTTTACTAGGTTAATTTCCTTTGGTGGCGCCCAACGACAATATCTTAACACTTTCTGTAAATTCACAAACGATATTTATATTTGGTCTGGGTAGGCTGCAAGCATGTGGTCACACTCTGGGCAGAAATAACATTACTAGATTTCTTTTTATCATTTGGGTGATTGCTTTCCTGGGCGGGATCTGGGAGACTAGCCTTCCTGGGCGGGATCTGGGAAACTAGCCTTCCTGGGTGGGATCTGGGAGAGACTAGCCTTCCTGGGTGGGATCTGGGAGAGACTAGCCTTCCTGGGTGGGATCTGGGAGAGACTAGCCTTCCTGGGCGGGATCTGGGAGAGACTAGCCTTCCTGGGTGGGATCTGGGAGAGACTAGCCTTCCTGGGTGGGATCTGGGAGAGACTAGCCTTCCTGGGCGGGATCTGGGAGAGACTAGCCTTCCTGGGCGGGATCTGGGAGAGACTAGCCTTCCTGGGCGGGATCTGGGAGAGACTAGCCTTCCTGGGCGGGATCTGGGAGAGACTAGCCTTCCTGGGCGGGATCAGGGAGAGACTAGCCTTCCTAGGCGGTATCTGAGAGACTAGCCTTCCTGGGCGGGATCTGGGAGAGACTAGCCTTCCTGGGCGGGATCTGGGAGAGACTAGCCTTCCTGGGCGGGATCTGGGAGAGATAGCCTTCCTGGGCGGGGTCAGGGAAGACTAGCCTTCCTAGGCGGTATCTGAAAATAGCCTTCGTGGGCGGGATCTGGGAGAAACTAGCCTTCCTGGGCGGGATCAGGGAGAGACTAGCCTTCCTGGGCGGGATCTGAGAGACTAGCCTTCGTGGGCGGGATCTGGGAGAGGTTAGCCTTCCTGGGTGGGATCTGGGAGACTAGCCTTCGTGGGCGGGATCTGGGAGACTAGCCTTCGTGGGCAGGATCTGGGAGACTAGCCTTCGTGGGCGGGATCTGGGAGACTAGCCTTCGTGGGCGGGATCTGGGAGACTAGCCTTCGTGGGCGGGATCTGGGAGACTAGCCTTCGTGGGCGGGATCTGGGAGACTAGCTTTCGTGGGCGGGATCTGGGAGACTAGCCTTCGTGGGCGGGATCTGTGAGAGGCTAGTCTTCCTGGGCGGGATCTGTGAGAGGCTAGCCTTCATGGACGGGATCTGGGAGAGGCTAGCCTTAGTGGGCGGGATCTAGGAGGCTAGCCTTCGTGGGCGGGATCTGGGAGAGACTAGCCTTCCTGGGCGGAATCTAGGAGAGGCTAGCCTTCGTGGGAAGGATGCAGGAGAGGCTAGCCTTCCTGGGCGGGATCTGGGAGAGACTAGTCTTCGTGGGCGGGATCTGGGAGAGACTAGCCTTCCTGGGAGGGATCTGGGGGAGACTAGCCTTCGTGGGCGGGATCTGGGAGACTAGCCTTCGTGGGCGGAATCTTGGAGACTAGTCTTCGTGGGCGGGATCTGGGAGACTAGCCTTTGTGGGCGGGATCTGGGAGAGGCTAGCCTTCATGGGCGAGATTTGGGAGAGACTAACCTTCGTGGGAGGGATCTGGGAGAGGCTTGCCTTCGTGGGCGGGATCTGGGAGAGGCTAGCCTTCGTGGGCGGGGTGCAGACTAGCCTTCCTGGGCGGGATCTGGGAGAGACTAGCCTTTGTGGGCGGGATCTGGGAGAGGCTAGCCTTCGTGGGTGGGATCTGAGAGAGGCTAGCCTTCGTGGGTGGGATCTGGGAGAGGCTAGCCTTCGTGGGTGGGATCTGGGAGAGGTTAGCCTTCGTGGGCGGGATCTGGGAGAGGCTAGCCTTCGTGGGCGGGGTGCAGGAGAGGCTAGCCTTCGTGGGCGGGGTGCAGGAGAGACCAGCCTTCCTGGGCGGGATCTGGGAGAGGCTAACCTTCCTGGGCGGGATCTGGAAGAATCTAGCGTTCCTGGGCGGGACGTAGGCAAAGCTAACATTCTTAGACAAGGCATGGACAAAGCTAGCATTCTTGGACAAGGCGTGGACAAAGCTAGCATTCTTGGACAAGGCGTGGACAAAGCTAGAATTCTTGGACAAGGCGTGGGCAAAAGTAGCATTTCTGGGCTGAAACCAGGGTGAGGCTAGCCCTCCTTGATAGTACTCAGGATGAAATTCTCACTCCTTTTCAGAAGTTAGGTCAAGGCTATCCTTCTTGGGCAGGACCAGGGGCAAAGTCAGACTTTCTTGGCGTTACCAGAGGCAAGGCTAGCTTTGCTTCTGAGGACAAGGGTGGGGGGGGGTTCTACCATTTCTGGGAAGGATAAGGGGGCGGTACTACCTTTTCTTGGCGGGACCATGGGTGGGATAACGTACCTGTGAGTAGTGGCTGGCGTGGAGGGCGGGCTGGGGGCGGGGCTTGCCTTTCTGGGCGGGACTGGGGGCGGGGGGATGACATCATCTCTGCGGCAGACTCGAGGCGAGGCTCCGGGAGACAGGAGCGGACTTCTGGATCCCTGGCGGCCATATCAACACCAGTTAGGCCACAGGCAATCTCCAGGAAGATTCAAGTTATTTTCAAGCTGTACTACAGTATGTTATTGTTAATAGTCATGTAAAACGCTATATTTATGTGGATAATTTAAGGTTACATGGGTAAGGGTGCTTGATATTGGGTGTAAAAAAAAAAGAGAATATTGAAGGGGAAGAAGTCGGGGTTGGAGCAACAAATCAGTTTGTTAAAGCGTCATTGAGAAAGAACTGCTTCAAAAAAGTGTCCTTTAGATAGAAAAGCAGACTAAGTATATATCAGAGAGTTTAAGAAGAGGCCAAAAATTATGAAAGGTACTCTCCGATGACTGGGATAATCTATCCAAAGTTTTGGATCGTCAACACTACCTAACATTTTTTAAAGTGGCACTGTTCACCTCTATGAAAGATCTGTTTCCCACAAACAAATGCCACGAAGGAAGGGTATCTAGCTGCCCATTTATAATCAAGAGCAGCCTGTTGGCAGACTTGGACCATAGGACTTTCAAAAATTTAATTGAGAACACATAAACAGGAAGAATAGAAAAACAAGGTGTACCAAATAACTGTACAGAGATCTGTAGGCGAAGATTCAACGACATAATAAATAAACAATGGTTTTGACTGGATCTCCTAGCTTTACTAACGTCTGTGAGAACTATATAACTCTTTGGATGAATATCGAAGTCTGAAACAATGTTCCAGACTGTGGAACAGAACTCTTCTCCAGGCTGAGGGACTGACAACCTCAAATCTAAATCTTAAGGGTGATGGACTGATTACATCGTCTTCACATCTCTACTGCTCCTGCCTACTTTCTGTATTCGACTGAAGAAGCTTACTGTGGAGGCGAAACATTTTGGAATAAAGATGCTTAACTGTTGCCTGTGTCTTACCAGCTCTTTGGATCACAAAGGTCACGAAAGTAGCAAAATAGTGGAGACGATGGTTATATCGGCAACCATGTAATGAAAGAATATTAGTGGAAAGGCCTTGTGGAAAATACTGTATATATTTTCCAGAAATTCAGTATTTATATGTAAATAGATGGCCATACTGTATTTAATAATATTTATGTCATAGAAAACGGAAAGCTTGCGTCTGCGCAGACGAGACTCGCCATCTTGGTTTTGAATTTTGTACAAACGTTGGTGTAATGGGAAGAATTTTTCGTGCTCTAGAGGTTAAAATTGTTGACACCTCTCAAATAGGAGACGAAATTGGTGTATATGCATTCCTGCATAACTTGAAATATCAGACGACTGGACAAGACAGCTCCAGGAACCTCAGATAAGCTCTCTAGATTTGTGTGTAATTCTGGCCAGCATTATTTTCATAGATTTAGTTAGTGAGGTTTTCTGAGTATGATACACATTAATTTCCAGTCAAATTGGTGAGTGATATTAAGATATATTTTCCTTCTGTTATGTAATGGTGTATATATATAACCATTTATTATTTTTAATATACAGTCCACAAATTTATATATTTACCAGTATTCCTGATGTATGTATATTTCATTTAATTAATAGGTCCAGAGCAACTTGTGGTTATGACAGTGGTAGGTACCGAAGGGGGACATTTTTTGCGACCTAGGTGTCCCAGATTCCTACTTGTCTATGTAACATTGATAAATAATAATTATCTTTGTTATCATTTACTGTTATGTACATAATTAGTTACATTCAGATAAATGCAATTTTCCACAGGCCTCAACCCAAAATAATTGTATTCCTTGAAGACTATAGTAATATGAAAACCGACTGGGTCTTTCCAGACTGTAAAGGTGTTGATAAGAAGAGGGAGTGTCTACAGTGAGACACCCAAAACTGGGACAAGATGAAATATGGGCGTCCAATATGAGTAGTCATACCAGAACCAATTTTAAACCTCGTAGCCCGAGAGATTATTCACGCATAAGAGGGTGAGGGATAAATAGGAATGCGTGCATCTCTTACCCCATCACCAAAGTTGGGGCTGAAGAGATTTGCATGGGCGAGAAGGAAATGAGGGTTTTTAGGGCATAAGTGATCGAGTGGAAAGTGTCGAAATTTGAAGCGGAATATCCAAAATGGGTCGACGGAGGTCAGAGAACCTGATAATGGTTATGTTTAGGGGTATTAAAATTGGAGGATGGTGCTTCAGGTCGACGGGTGCTGAGTGTACGGGACAGGTGACAGCCGTGTGCTGGCATGAGAGATCATTGCATTCTTGCTGATAGGACACGTTGTGACTTCCAGTAATATACTCATGATTTGCAAACTTCATAGACAGTCTTGAGAATAAGAGAGGCGGGAGGTAATCAGGTTTAATCCTAGGCAGAAAAAGGTAGCCTCAATTCTTTGAATCGAGAGCCTTCATCAAAATTAAGGTGCCTCCCTGAAATGAGTGATTCAGTATTTTGTTGGAAGGCCAGAGCGCCAGCAATTTCAGTATTGTTGGTGAGTTGGAAGAAGCTCTGCAGCAGTCAGTGAATTTCTAAATAGACTGTTGAAAGGAGTTCAAAGCAGTCCAAAAAAAAAAGTCTGGCAACGCAGCTCTGGCACCGCTATCAACCGCGCGTTGGTGTACGGCAGCTAATATCTGCACGCTCTGTAAATGTCTGTTGTTGACGTGATTGTGCAAGGTAGGACAACAGCCCAAGAACCTTTTGAATAGTTTAGCGTGATTGCGTACTCATGATGTCAATAGCGGTTAGCAACTTTTATAGGTTGTCGTCCTGAGAGGTCAGGCGCGCACACGAGTAACCAGTCATCACGTCATTCACGGGAGGAATTTAAACAAGTATTAGGTGGACGAGAAAGGATAAGAATGTTCTTATGATAATTTGGGAGTTTTGCACGAGTTGTTAGTTACTGCATCAAGGGGGATGAGTGGGCCACGGTCGTAGGTGATCTTCAGTCCTGAGTTGGTAAAATTTTCCACAACATCTTGTTGAGGGCATAGCGAGTCCTAAATAGAACGCGTCCTTAATCATCCAAAGATATGAATCTAATAACTGTATATCCTGGCGAATAGGAGCTGGTTCCTGCTGGAGCTTAAAAATGCTCTGACTAATCAAATTTCTTCTCCATCACCCTCAGATACAACAGAGTCCAACAAGAAACTGTTCCAGTTCCTAATGACCAATACGGATTTAGCATATGCTGTAAATATAATAATCTCGGCCTCCAGCCAAGAAACAAGAGGCTGCTCTCCTTCCAATAACTCTTTAAACCCGAATCAATAAGACCACCAGCCTAGTTACTCGTGTTGACGGGTATCTGAGTACTGGAAACATAGGAGCAACCATGACCATACAAGCATGAAAAGCTCGTCAGAGCAGGTCATAGAACATACGAAGGATTCAGGATCTCATTATTACAAGGCGGCTGGACACATCATTCAGTATCTTTGTACATTAAATCCTTCGCCGATTTGACTTTCTAATGCATTTTTCTGCATTATGAAAGGTGAACCAATACAATAGTTTTTATACGATCTCACAGTTCACTTGTCTATGAAGCCTCAACCTGTACACCTCCAGTGCCCTTTAAAACATCTAACATACATCTTGTGACTTTCACGCAATATATAGCAGCAAAAAGTGATTTAATAACTGGTATATGGGAACATAATCCTCACAAACTCCTAAAAAAAGAATTCTAATTAGACTAATGCAGAGAACTGCATCTTCATATCTTTTACCATACTATTGTAATTTATAAAATCGGAAACAGATTTTGTGTAAGAGAGGAAGAGAAGACAGACCAAGAATAATGCAAAAAGGGGACAATAGCGTATACAGACATTAAATACACAAACATAAAAAAATATACTTTAAGCACAGGAAACATTGTTAAATTCCCAGTGTTTTATTTTAAAATAATATATATATATATATATATAAATATATAAATATATATATATATATATATATATATATAATATATATATATTATATATATATATATATATATATATATTTTATATATCCTACAAAACTTACCTTCTGGAATATTCTACTTTTAAAAACCATCTCAAGTACTTAAAAGCAATTACGGACTAGACTCGTGTATTTTAACATACTTGTACACTGTATGGACACTGATATTAATAATACTTACCAACTTTTCAAACCTTTTCAATGACGAACATTTCAATTTATCGTTATGGTCTTTTTTCCCCCTTCTAACCCCTCAAGGAAGGTTCCTTGATGTTGGTGAGGGGCTCTTGATTTAGGGAATTGGATCTATGCTCCAGTTCCCCAAATTAAGCCTGAATGCCTTCCACATACCCCCCCAGGCGCTGTATAATCCTCCGGGTTTAGCGCTTCCCCCTTGATTGTAATAATAATAATCCCCCTTCTAAGAAACAAAAAACTAGAAGGCATCACAGGACGACAAAACTGCATCATTTTGATCTAACCTAGAAAAAATTCTTTAAAATTCTCGTAATTTTATTTTTTACAAGCTAAAACGTCACAGGAAGATATGACGGTGTTAAGGATGGGATGGTGATACAAATGTACATAACAGCCGTGAATGTTGTAGTTAAGCCTACTTGGCGACACTAATCAATTAATAATATTTTATTTCAACGTGATACAACGTTTGGGTTTACATGCAGAAAGCCCATAAGTATGTAGAGCATTTCGGGAAAACTTCAGACTAACTTAAGTTTAAGATAATAACAATATGAGTAATTTTATAGTCACTTGGGTGGGTGTAAATATAAATTTAGTAGTTACAGTGAATACAAGAGAAGTGAATATCGTAATTAGTTCATGCTATATGGCTTTTATCAAGTTTAACTGATAAGGAATTACAGGTTTGATTATTAAGATAAAGGGGGACACCATAATTTTTCCATGTTTGGGAAGATTACAGATATTGAGAGTAAGATTCACACAGAAAACTGCAAATACTGAAGAACTCTGAAGCCTCTATTTAGAAAAACCACCTGAAGAATTATTTTTTGGCTAGGTTATGAGAAGTATGAGGAAAATGGAGGAAGGTGACAAGACAGGGACAGGGAAGAAAGGGGGGAAGGAAGGACGTTTTTAAATGAGTGGGTTTGTGCCACAGTAACGCGGAGTTATTTCTTGAACTTTGTATCGCTACATTACAGTAATTATGTTATCTTGTACAAATATGGAGATGAAATGATTGACAACACTGTAATCCAATATTCTGAATACCCAGAACAAAAATTTTGGAGCCTTATTTTCGTATAAAATTTTGAAACTCAGTGGTACAGTACACCAGAGAAATATTGCAACCTAACCTCGTTGATTATTATTATTATTATTATTATTATTGTTATAATTATCAGGTTCATTATTAGTATATCACGATTATTAGTATTACTATTATACCACGATTATTATCAATACAATTGATATTACCACTACCAGAAGTACAATAATTACAATTGTTTTCACTATGGATATCACTACTATTGCTACCTGGTCTGTTAATGGTTCCGAGATTAAGTGCCGCCGCGGCCAGGTCTTCGACCAAGCCTCCTGGCTGACAACTTGAACGGTCAAGACTCATCAGACTGCTGGTGCTGGAAGTACACAGCCCAGCCAAGTCATCACACTGAAGCAAGTTTGGAATAAGAGGAGCATGTAAGGAGGAAGCAGTAGTAGTGAAAGAGAGAGAGACCAAGACCAGTTCAGTAACTACATTTGTGATACGGGTTTTGGGAACACTTACCTGGCTCTATACTATGCCTGAGCCACATAGAAGTAGTAACTGCTACTAAACACAAGATATATTACATACCTTTCAACCGACCCTCGGAGCAAGAGATTCAAGAGTGACTACGAGTAACCATTACCTGCTCCGTTGAGTCTTGTGCTTCGCTCTCACAGTCACCATGCACTCTGCTAGGATCTTGGTTCGATAACCCATCATCGTCAGGGATATATATCTCATCATTTTGTGACCCAGCTGTAGAAATATCAGAACTCTGCAGCCCTGTAGCAAACTTCTCATGACTATGAACTCGATCTGCACACTCCTCGGGACTGTCTGATCCGACTGTAGAAATATCTGGACTCTGTGATGTGTTTATATATGTCTCCGAGCTTTTAAAGCTAACTCCATAGGTATCAGCTAATTTTAAATCTCCGTCAGCTCTAAGACTTTGAGACTCGTTACTGAGTTCCAGGGAAGAGCTTGTAATTCCTGTCGGAGCAAGGTCAGGGTCAGAGTGTGGTTTCTTTGGCTTGGTGCCCGTATTTTCGGGTGAAGAAAACTCATACGAAAAGTTATTTCCACGAGATGGGGAAGAATGAGTAGAACTAGAAACACTTTTCACTTCGGGAAGCTGAGGCGGAGGTCCGATTGGAAAAATTAAGTCATAGGTTGGGTTGTTCCTGTAAAAGCCTCGATTCTCCTGAACACTTTTATCCATGATATTAATCACTGAATATTCCTTGCCGGATCCTATCAAGTCTGTGGTATCTGTTTCCTCCTCAGTGCTCGTCTCATTTTCACTTTCTGATTCCGTCTGTGATGAAACTATCCGATAGTCAGAAAGACCATGGTCGGACTCTACTGGGTCAGAGACTGATCTTTTTGTGGTAACTGTTTCTATTTTGGGGAGCAATTCTGATGCATCTTCATTGGGATTGACATTTACAGCTTCGTGCATATTCGTAGGCACGTTGCAGCACTGAGAAGGAAGAGACTTGGATATATTTGTATTCGGCTTACGGTAAGAATAAAGGCTGTGAGGTACCGTACGTATTGGTCGAGGAATCTCACTGATAGTACAGGGGGGCGATTGACGTACATTATTAAAAAATTGATGCATACCTGTTCTGTTAGGATTCATATCCAGCAACACATTCAGCGAGTGTCTGTTGTTGAGTGCTTCATTTATGTTTACAGGGTTCGAAAATAAACCACCTGGCAATGGTTTCTGGTTATGTAACGGAGGAGGAAATTGTCTCGTTGGTACTATTGGTAGGCCACCTTCATTAGATCCTGAAGACCTTGATTTATTAGACATAACTGGGCTCCCAGCCCCATCAGATCTTGTAGGTAACGAAGCTTTACTTAGTGCAGGCGACCCACCAACCCCTATGCTTGAAATTGGCCTGCTAGGTAGCATAGGCGGCTTGTCAGGGCTTCCAGGTTCTTTGCTTAGACTTGGCCTATCAAGAGCAGGTTTATCCCACAGGTCGAATCCCAAAGTTGGAGGGGGCTTACTAGGCAAGAGTGGCGCCGGTCGTTCAGTTCCATGGTACGTACTTTGTCCGGGAAAGTCAGGTCCAAAAAACTGACTTGACTTGAGCAACAATGAGCCGCCCATTGATTTTAAGCCAGCTGTCTGTTGTGGTTTGGGGGGTAAATCTTTCCCATTAGATAAATTTAGACTATGATTTAACTGTAATCTGGTGGGAAGTGGAGGTGCTGTAGACGACTTTAACTGATCGTTCGTGAAAAGCGATGTTCTCTGTGAATCCGTCCTTTCTTGCAACTCGAAACAACTTGATCTGCCCATCACCTCTCCCACACCGAGAGGCTTTGAGGAACTTACGACGTTAGTTGCAGTATTTACACTGTTGGCCTCGACCAATTTCGGGGGAGAGGGACAGCGGGGCTTGCCTACTCCCTTAACATCTAGAGTCGCAGAGCTCCTCTTACTCTCCTGGTCCTGTCCTGGGGCTGCTGCATCACCAGGAGGTTTATTATTCTTCTCCTCGGAGGCCTGTAATCATGCACATGCACCCACATTGCTTAGCACATTACATCATGCATCAATTTATCTACAATAATACTATTATCAATAGCACAGTTGTATATCATGCACTAGACTACTACATACATTCTCAACTGCAACAGACGCGCTGATAAATGTAAATAAAGAGCTAAGGGACTAAATATACAATTTGTAAATGTTACCAAAAATATTAATACTGAAAACATTTTAAATACTAGTCATATATGAATATATTGCAGCATTTACTGAAACAGCTGAGAATCCTTCATTAAGAGAATGATTAAATCCTACTCTAGTGCTCATCAAGACACCCAGATATTAACAATCTCAGAGCATTCTAAGCATGCACCATTATGCCATGATTATTCTAGCTGACATAAAATCAGCAAGATTATTATTATTAAGTTTATAGTTTCAGCCACACTGACATCCGTAATGTTACAGTACTATCCTTAATGACGCATTTGTAGTTCCGTCAGTGGTCACGGTCTCATTGCAAATAATTTTGATTATATCTTTTCAGGTAATAGCTAGTTGACGCTGTTACATTGACCAGGGACAACAAAAGCACGATACTTTTAAGAAATTTCACATACAAGTTGAAAACTATGTTTTTTAAAGACTATTTTTTTTTTCAATATCTTTTGATCTGTAAGCCACCCTCAGACTGCAGTCATGTCTGCGCTACTTAGTGCCACAATATACAAGTCCTTATCATAATTTATATCCTAAGTGTGACACAAGAAATGGTTTATGATTAAAGCCTATCTACTGCGTATAGGTCTTTAATAATAAGGCTTGTTTATCACCAGTCAAGAATACTTTCAGCCTCAACATTGAAATTAAAATGTATATACATTATACACTGAAATATACCCCTCTCGGTATTTGCAGCTATATTTATATATAGGGAGGGACTGATTACATCTTCTGTCTCCAGTTTAGCACCAAATAACCTTCGTATTGAACTGATAAATACACTGGTTGGCGAAACGTCTTCAGAGTAAAGATACCCAGGTGTTGCACATATTTTGTATGCCAGCTTGTAAGTATTGTATACTATAAATTGCTATGATGGCTGCGTATCTTTATTGAGATGTTTCTCCTGTACAACAAGTTTGATAAGGCCTGTGCAGATGAATCGTCTCTCAGTACAGATGCCCAGGTACTGCACATGTCTGTCAGCAATCCTGAGCCTGTTACACATGTTTAGTGCCTTGGCGCGTAGAGAGAGAGAAATGTAGAGCTATGGTTATATCGCTGAGTGATCATATGTTTTTCTCGAGTCTATTATCGGTTGGCGACCAGACCTGAGAATCTCATTGACAGCTTTGCTACACTGAACTTTCTCAAATACGCCGGGTCACCTTCTGGAAAAGACCCGGGCCGGGACAACACCTGCGAACTTACTACTTACTGACTGATCAGAGACTGGCTTGCAGTCAGCGAACTAAAGATTGAGCCTCTGCTGGTTCTTACGTGGTGTTTAGTACTTCATACAAGTCCCCAACAATTTTGCACAAGAGCAGTTTTAGAATGGAAATTGCACTTTCAGTGCCGGGGTCATGGTTAAAGGCAGGTTCACATGATGAAGACAAGTTTATTGTACTGTAAATCTCGGAGGTTTATTAACCCAAGATAATCCAAGACAGCTATGTGGCTTATTTCCGAGGAAATAGACGCATATATGCAATACTTGAATATCTACATTTGAAGATGTTTCTGTAATGAATACCGGTTATATTATTGTGGCTTATTCCTATTGGAGTTTGTCACTGCCCTTGTAGACCTTCAAAATTTCATTTTTTTTTCCTGGTTTGACATCACCTGGCAAACCTCAAAAATGAAACATTGACTGGTTATAATTATAACCTTAATTTTTAAAGGAGTGGATCAGTAAGCCAATGGAAGGCCTCGGTCAGATGACCAAAAACTCCAGCGGACGGTCATCATTTGGCTAAGACCCGCGTCAGGAAACACTTGTCCTCTTTCCTGACGTATCTTGCTTAACCCAACCTCAGCATTAAACTCCACTAATACAGCTCGCTGTTGTATAGGTATAAACAAGCTCCCCCCGTTCCCTACCACGCTAAGGTGACTTCCAGTAGGAGGAAGATAACAGTGATCACGGGGGTAGACACGGCTTCAGCTACGTCCTCCCTGAGATTATATATATATATATATATATATATATATATATATATATATATATATATATATATATATATATATATATATATATATATATATATATATATATAATGACTCGAAAAACTTACTACTAACAAAGATAAACATTGCCAACAGCATAAATTGTCCTCATTTTTATATTTTAATATTGTTATTGACCAACAAGTTGAAACTTTGCTTACAGAAAAATAACAAGTAATTTTCTAATGGAATATGCCTTCATCTGCAAGTAACATTGTACTTATAACCACATTCCTGTTACGTTAGATTACATTAATTAGGTTGAAGTTAGGCTACTTTAAATTGAAGGGGGGCGGTACATAGTTCACTACCAGAACAGCTATAAGTAAAAGATTAGTTATAAACGAAATTGTACTTATGCTCCTGTGACTTAAGTTTTAATTTCTTAGATATTAGCAATATTACTTACGAACCTGAAGGGCTGTAGAAACTTTCTTGGAAATACTTCATTATTTTCACCAATGTACTGGTCAGTTCTTCATTGAGGGATCTGATCTCCTCTATGTCAATACTTTGTCATGACTTGTGCACCATCACAAATAATAGCAGTTAAAAAAAAAAAACATCTCATGAAGAACTTTGGCTGGCCCCCTAATGACATTAAGAAACACTATCTGTCGTCTTAAAGGCCAGAAAAACTGTTGTTGCAAATTGACAGCAAAGGCATTGCAAATTTATGTATCGTTAGCCAAACAGATGGGAGGACGGATGGATAAAGGTTTCAAGTATAACCGAATTTATGATTTATAATCTATGAAACTGGTGAAAATTTCAATAATGAGCCGCATAGCACCCAGCTTCTGAAAAAAAAAGAGGGAATTCTTCAGTCTTCCAAGGACAAAAATGAAAGGATACTGAAGCATGGACACATTTCATTAGTAGCTATAATCGAGCCTTGGAGGCCAGGAATCAATAAAAGTAATTGATAAGAATTAAGTCATTGCCAAGAACTATGAATCGACTCCCTCAAACACTACTAGGTGAGAACATTTGCACCACCTGATCTGGTGGTCACTGTAAGATGACTTGTCGACGACAATGTCGTAATTTCAAGAAGTGAATATAGTGTGATCGAAAATCACCAAGGCATGAGAAAAAATCCAATGGAGCCGATTCCTGTACTGATTTGAAAGGGAAACATTTTATAGATGAATGACAACACAGTTCTCCATCACTTAAGACTGTAAAAACCTAGCTATTATTATTTCTCTAGCGATTAGTGAACGGAGGATAAAGCCTCCAGTACTTCTAGCACTGAATGACTCGAACGACTTTAGTACCATTTTTTTAAGCTCCACTCATCAACGATGCTCTATTCCAACATTGGAATATCTATATGCGATAGCATTACATATTAGCATTTCTATTGCTGTGTATAATTTGAGAGTGGCGCTTTGACTCCCCCTCCTACGTTGTCAAGCTCCTTCCTGCTGTTAACTCCTTCCAGCGGTTGTCAATTTCCTTCCTGGGGTTACCAACTCATTTTCACCTCATTTCATTTATCTAAAATTTACTGCCACGCCCTGTGACTCATTCCCACACCCTACTTCTCGTTACCACCTTTACAATTCACTCACATACCCCACACAACGCACTCCTTCACCACCACCGTTTATATTCCTACCCCTTACAACTTCCTCACCCTTAAGTCATTTTCACACTTCAACAGGTCATTACCACACCCCTATAACCAATTCCTACACCCTTCCATGCAACTCCAATTCACTCCAGATCCCGTACCTCACCCATACCTCTCCAACTCACGCTCACACCCCTCGCTAGTTCCCACACCATATTATTTCAGTCCATGCCCCTACTCCTCGATTCAGTTCCATGGCTCTCTTGCATCTATCCAACTAATACTACAGTACACCCCTCATACTGTTATATCCTTCCCAAACTATCCTAATTCTGACCTACATTCCTCCACATCATTCCCACACCTCTCCATTTCGTTCTTACTCCTATCCAACTCCCACATTTCTGGAACTCCCTCTCACTGGCAAATTTACCCTCCTACCTAACAACTCCCTCACACACTCATTCCAGCACAATCCCATGGACGTATGACCATTTAGTGGAGAGTGGTCCATGCCAGGCCAGGACCCAGAAAAGCTGCAAGCCATTGGCTGATATCTCTGAGCTGCTTCTGCAAGCTGATGGAAACGATGTTAAACAATTTGTCTTTCGTTAGTGTATCTGGCGATGAATGGTTGCATCCTCTAGAAGCAATTCGGCTATAAGCTCCAGTCAACAATAGATCTCTTGGTTAGGCTGATTGGTGATATCTAGGGAAATTTGACCAGACGCCTTCATACCTTGGTGGATTTCAACCTGAAGAAAACTCATGACACCATGTGGAGGTGGGTCATTCTCTGCCGTCTCCAACGTTTGGTACTGCAAAGATGACCCTGGCCTCTCCAGCAGTTTCTGTGTAACACGTTGTTAATGGTGAATATTGGTTCAAGCAACATTCTCATCATCACATGCTTTATCATGGTCATAGATGATGTGGGTGGCACTGTCCTAACGGAGTCTAGTCCTCCTTATACACGGATGACCTGGCAGTATACTGCTGTGTCCACTCTGAGGTGGCCTGTTAAGAACTACAGCAAGCACAAAATATCACAGCAGGCTACTTCAGTCAGCCACTGGCTTTCCTCATGGAAGACAGTCCATTTTACCCAGTCATGAGTGAGGCAGCCCGTTTCTCATGAGCTGCTTCAAGGTATAGTCCTTCTCTGAGACCAAGTGACATTCCTGAGACTAGTTCTTTA